CTGCAGACTGCCGTCGGCCCCAGGCTGATTTCAAAGCCCGGGAAATTTTGGCACAGTGCCAGGCCGAATCTTGTCCCGTGGATTGCTGCACAACATAGGTCGCGGCTTTCAAGAACACGTAACTCGCTGCCCAGAAGAAACCGCTCCACTCGGCTTAGGAATCGCAATCCTATTAGGTTGGACTGAAGGAGCGGCGGGACAGTGCGACCTCCGGCGGGGGTCTGCAGCGGGCGTGTCAAAGGCAGGGCGGCATCCATCAGTTGATCAGCCGCGGTTGCTATCTGTCGGCATGCCTGCAGGATGGGGTGGTGCGAAGGACTGTCACGGCACTCGTGTCGCCAACGCAATGCACGATAACAGTAGCGCTCGCCTTCCAGGGCCCCGTCGGAGGCCCAAGCCGTAAAGACGCATGCCAAGAGTGACCGTAGTCACCGCGTGCGGGGGGCCCGTAGGGCCCTGCGTCCTGTGGCGCGGTGGTCCATGGGATCTAGGGGGCCCTGGGAGATCCAAGTGTTTCGTGACTGTGACCACTTGCAGTCTCATTAGGCGGGAAGTCACACATGGCCGCCTGTAGTAGGTGAGCGTTGAGGTGCTCAGCGTGGCCATCGGGATGGGTGGTGAAAGTGGCATGGGGCACCAGCCGCAGGGCATTCACAAGGGCCTTCTGGCGGGTAGGGTCGATGAGCTTCGCCCCATCGAGCTTAAGCTTCTCCCATGTGCGCGCACGTTCGTACTGTGAGCCGCCCCCAGGGATGATAACATCGGCCGTGGCCACGAAGTGGTCGTCGGAACGTAGGGGCTGATCCAGTTCAACAGCGACACTCTGCTGAACGACGGTATCAAGCTGCCCAGCTGGTATCGTGATGTAGGCTACGCGGTGCTGAGGGTCAAGCCCGCGTTGGCTTATCGCCAGCCAAGTTCCGTGGGCCCCAGAAGCGGACGGCAGAAACGTAGATTGCGCGCACCGTTTGGTGGTCCGAAGGAGGCTGTGAAAACGTTGACCTGCAGGGGTCTCGGGCTCTGCAGCAACATCATCAACGTGCTCTGAGAGCTGTAAACCCACTGGCGCGTTAGCGTCCAAGAGTCAGTACATGGGGGCGGGTTGGGCTCGCTGATGGATACCCCTCTCGATCGCACCCCACCACGAATTGATATCATCAGGTGGTCGTCGTCAGCGCGGTGCGTGAGCGACGAGCACGTCGATGCACAACTACGGCGCACGGATAGCCACAAGCAGGTGTCGTGTCGAATAGGTGATAACACGTATGTGTCGACGCGCAAGTACATGACCACGTGCATATTCATGCCGCGTATGCACCCACAGAGCCACACCACCCACACCGCCGACGACGTGACGACCATGTATCCACCTGCTGGTGTCCATGCAGTCCTGCGCAAGCGAGTCTCTAACGTAACGACGAGGAAAAGGCCACGACGAGAGATTTGGTAGGCAAGTGCTAGCATGCGGCCAGGGGGGTCAAGCCCAGCCGCGTCTTGATAGCAGCAGCGAGTACGAGTGGAGCCACGCGCGCCCAGCCTTCCTGCGGGGCCGCAGGGTGGGCACATTTGCCACCGCCAACCGGACGCAAGGTCGCAAACCTAATTGGGACGGAGTCGATGGCTCTCGTTCCGAGCTGGGTCCAGCACGTGGCGAGAACGCGGCTTGGAGCTCGAGGTGCGGGGGTGGGATGGTTGGCATTTCATTCGCCAACATTTGGATATTCCCCATGACCGACGTTGGCGTTTGTGCATATCCACATCCATGGGGCCATGGGACGGCTGCGGCACAATACTGTAGCGCTGACCACGGCTGCCAATCGTCTTCATCGATTGGCTCAATTCCCATGGAGGCCAGTCGTGCAATGGTATCCGCAAGCCCAGTTAGCGGGTCTGCATTGTGTCCCAGGACGTGTTTCCAGGCTAATGATACGTAACGTCTCAATCATTTGAGGACCCCACCAAAGAGTTTGGGGAGGTCGCCGCAGGAACTATATCTGGTTCCGCCCCCTGCCGAGTTGACCACCAAGATGTTATCCACGTGGACCACCAGTGGTTGGGGGCGGAAGTAATCAGGCGCTTGCAGTAGCCATGACACAAGCCACAGGGCAGCTAGGCATTTGGCGGCATCAGAGACATTAGCAACGGCGTCGGAGAGAGTGGGATCTATTCCGCACAGGTATCCATGGCTTACATCGTGTTCGTTACGTGTAATGGAAAATACAACCCAAGCCCAAGACGGTGGTCCACCGTCATCCTTGGAGCGGGATCCTCCAGAACCATCCGTATGAATCTCGAACCTGACAGGCTGAAAGTCATCGGGAAGGGGGGGCCCGTGGGCCTCGGCAAAATTGACCCGACTGCTGCGAAGGAAGGGCTGAACAATGCAATGCTCTGGGCCCTGCTGAGGCCCAAGGAAGAGAAGAGTGAGAGTGTGACTGCTGGGCCAGGGCCGACAGAGAAGCCTGACCAGATAGCTGCAGTCTGGCAGAGGGCAGACAGGGCATCGCCGCTCAGAGTCACTCTGAGCAAAGGGTGGCACATTCGCGTCGGCTGTGCTGACAGCCTCGGGCAAGCTGTGAGATAGCGCTGGCATCTCACCCACCTCTGCTTTCTCGTCGCGAGCCATCGCCCCAGCGTCGACGGTGCCGATGTATCCTCCGTGGATTCGAAAGCGTCGCCACCTCGGACCACCTCAAATCCGCCGGGCCTCCTTGGGCTGCGGTCGCGGCTGCGCCCGGGGCGCCCGGCGGCAGCCGCGGCCGTCTCATCGTTAACTTCCTCCGCGACGCGAGCGCGGCCTGCGGGGTCGGGAGGTTCGGCGCCGCGACCTCGGCGGCTGACCGCTCGCTAGCGGGCGAGGGCCTTGGCGAGGCGACGTTGGCCCGCAGGGCGGCGCGCGCGGCCCTGCTCCTTCTTGGCCCGACGAGCCTCGGCAGCGCGCCTGCGCAGCTCCTCCGCGGCAGGGCCACCAGCGCCTGCAGGATCGCCATGAGCAGGGGCGCCTCCAGCCGCTGGAGCCTCAACGGCGGCGCGGTGATCGGACGCGGCGACGGGCACGCCTGCGGCGCTGGGGGCGGCGGCCGCCCGCTCAGGCGCGAGCCGCTTCGGCAGGCCTGCGAAGGGGGGCGGCGCCCCGCCAGCGGCCGAAGCATGCGGCGCAGGAGCCGTTCGGGCAGACGTCATTGCCGATTGCAGCGTCGCCAGCATCGCCGTCGAGGACGAGTGCTGCGTCAGGGCGGCCTGTCCGCTCTGCAGCTCGGCGACGGCCGCAAGCTGCGACCGGGGGGGCCACGCGCGGCGCCCCCAGCGCCGTCGGAGTCGCTACACCACCGTTAGCTGCTGGAGTCGGCGGCGCGCTGATGTCCATGGCGACGTCGTCGGACGTGCTCGGCGGCGGCCGCAGCTCCTCGAGCTGGTCGACAGCACCTGTGCACGGGCGAGCTCTTGCTCTCGTTGAGAGCACTTGTTGTCCATCTCTTCGTAGTGGATGCGGCCCTTCTCGCGGGCATCCTTGGCTTTGTCCAGATTGTTCTGGGCGCGCTGGGTGTGCGCCCTCTGGCGGTCGCGCCGATATCCTGGCGCCCGCGCTGTGATGATCATGCGCAGCTGGACAGAGTACCCTAGCTTCTGCGGGGCCAGGCGCGTCTCGTCCATGCCCAGGGTGATGGCTGCCTGGAGCCTGCGGCCCGTCGCCGCCGCCATCTCCCGCAGCGTTTTGCGGTGGGCGGCGAGCTCGCGGCCGCCCGCGGCGGACGGCGGCTCGACCCACGAGGGGTGGGCCCGCGCGCCCTGGGGCAGCGCCGGGAGGACGCCGAGGGCGGTCTCGTCCTCGAGCCGCGCGCGAGACGCCGAGCGGGGCCGCGGGCCGTCGCGCCCCTCTGCCTCACGGCGGCGGCGGCGCGAGCCCGATCGCCGCCTGCTGGGTGCCTCAGCCCGCTCGGCTTGCAGCGAGCTGGCGCGACGTGGCGGCCGCCGCTGCTGCTGCTGCTGCTGCTGCTGCTGCTGCTGCTGCTGCTGCTGCTGGTCGCGCGCTCGAGCGCCGCCACCGACAGGGCCAGGGTAGCAGTGCTGGCACAGCAGGGCGCCAGGGACATTTACCTGCTCACAGTGGTCACGCCGCCCGCCAGGTGGCGGCGGCGGCACCCACGGCGCCCGCTGCCCGCCGCCGAAGCCAGTGTGTCGTGCTCCACCGCGCCCGCGGCCTTTGCCGCCCTGCGCCGCCATGTCGTCAGGCCCCGAGCTGTGATGTAGCCGAAGGAGGCGTGCAGCGTCGGCGACCCGCAGCAGGGTCCGCGACTGGGCTCGCCGCAGGCGCTGGCGGCGATGCCAGGCTGGCTCGGCGCGGCGCGCAGGCCCAGCGGACAGGCTGCGCGGGTTGCGGGCGCGGCCGGCGCCAGGCCGCCCAGGCGCCGCGGAGATGGCCCGATGGGCGCGGGCCAACGCGCGTAGCCGCCCGCCCCGCGAGAGGTTCGCCGTACCTGGTACGGCGCCCGACACCTCTCGAACTGAGGCGGCGGCTTGAGCCAAAATGGCTACGGGGGGAGGCGGAAAAGGAGGATGATGATGATGATGATGATGATGATGCTGATGATGATGATGATGATGATGATAGGAGGAGGAGGAGGAGGAGGAGGAGGAGGAGGAGGAGCAGGAGGAGGAGCAGGAGGAGGACAGTCCCCTGTATCTTAAGTCCTTAGCAGCATGTTTTTTTCACTACCGCAATTCGGGGAATCCCGCCCTTGAGAGAAACTGTCCGTATGGGCCTGCTGGTCGCGAGAGCCCTTTTCGAAAAAGAGCCGCCCCACATCACTGCAGCGATTGCGCACTGATGGGGGGCGGAGGCAGAGGTGGAGGCAGAAGCGGAGGCGGAGGCAGAGGCAGAGGCGGAAGGCAGAGGCGGAGGCCGAGGCGGAAGCAGAGGGGGAGGCGGAGGCCGAGGCGGAGGCAAAGGGGGAGGTGGAGGCGGACGCAGAGGGGAGGGAACTCCCGCCCCGCCCTAGGACGGAAAGGGCGCGGCCCCGAAGAGCATCCCGGACCTGGCCGCGGAGGCAGGGGCGGCCGCAGCGCGCGCGGCCGCCGAGGCGTTGCTGCAGAGGCAGTCCGGAGAGGGCGCCGAGGCCCTCGGGCGCGGAGAGCCGTGCGCCTGCACCGGTCCTGGCCAAGGCCCATCATCCTGGGCCCAGGATGGGCTCATGCGCCTCCCTGGGCCTGGCCGGGAGGGGGGCGTACCCGACCCTGGGCCCGGGACGGGCTTTGGCCAGGCTCGGTGCCTGTGCGCGCAGTGGCCTTCCTCCTGGAGGCTGCGGCTGCGATGGTCCAGGAGCACACCGTTGACGGGGGCGCCCAGGGGTCGGGGTCGCTGGACCGCGCCACCGTGCGCAAGACGTGCGGGTCCACCGGCAGCAGGTGCTGAGCCGCCGCCCTCTCCCCTCGATCGCCCCCCCCTCCCCGGAGAGGGCAGCGGCCGCGCCCGCCCCTTTTTTTCCCGGTTCCGAATTCGGGGCCCTCGCCCGCCCGGCGCGAGGGCACCCTCGCCGCGAGCTCCCTGCCCGCCCTGCGCCTCTGCAGCAGGCGCGGGCGCGGGCGGCTTCGTCTTCGCCCCCCTGGTGGCAGCACCCTCTCCTCCGCGGCCCCGGGGTGGCGCACGCGAGCTTCCGCGGGACGACCTGGTCGCCCCGCGCCGCAGCTAAAAGCGCCGCCGTCGGCCTCAGACGTCTCGGTCCCACCTGCGCCCTGCAGGTGGCAGGGGCAAGATGGGAGGAGATGGACGAGGGGGGAGGGGGAGGAGGGAGGAAGGATGGGGAGGAGGATAGGGACCAGTGCAAACCTAAAGACTCGTCACCGATATTCAGGGCTCCTTAGATGGGGTCGGAGTGGATGGGGTCGGAGGACCGCGCTGCATTGCCGATGCATCGCCGATGCGGCTCGCCGTAGGGCCCGATTTCCTTCATATCGACGTCGCCAATGCATCGCCGACGTCGACGATGCATCGCCGGTGCATCGCCGATGCACCGCCGATGTGTCGGCGATGCGGCACGATCCGCCGACCCCAGGTGCTCCGACCTGGTCCAGCAGAGGCCTCTAGATACGTATGTCAATAACCCCTCCCTCCAAGTTTCATCTTCGCAGGTCTTCATAAGGATTCATGTTCACTGAGGGAAGTGCCCCGTTGGAAGACAACCGTTTGAAAAACCTGAGCGGTGCCAGAACACGCTTCCTGGGGCTTCAACGCCGCGAATCACTGTGTCTGTTGCGTCTTGATGCTCTCGGTCCGTTCAACACCATTTGTGGGATTTCAGCACCGCGAGTGAACGCACTTAATTGTTGCGCCCTGACCGTCCGACTTCGCGACAACACACCATGTCTGGGACATTAGCTATGACACGCCTTGACAGTCCGCGGCGCTGAGGCGAGAGCCACATTTGAAAACAACCCGCCCCCCATTCGTGAAGCTGTTGTTGCAGTGTGTAAGACGAATGTGCGAGGCGCGAAGGTGAGAGCCAACCACTCGCCCTCCTGCTGTAAATCTTTCGCATTTTCTCCCATCCTGTGGTGTTGGGTCCTCGTTTTGAAGAGACGGTGCCCCTGAGTGCGGTCGCGTACCGCCTGGGGTCGCTGGCTATGGCCAGAGTTGCCGTGAGCAGAGAGCGGCCCCCATCCATATCATCGCAATGGCGGAGGCCCGCAGGCCTTTGCTCTGAAGCCTTCTTTGCGGCAGTTGTCATGCTTTCGTTGCGACTTCATGTTGCAGTCAGAGTCTTTGTTGTGGGATCCAGGCTTCCACGAGCTCCCTCCTCCTTGCGTTTCACCCACCCAGTACAGCGCTTCGTGGCCCCATAGGGAGCTCCACCGAAGGCCCCAGTGGCAGGGTTCGCATGGCGACTTCGGGCCATTTCGGCACACCCCTCACGAGGATGGTGGCGCCATAGGGAGCTCCGCCGAAGGCTCCAGTGGCAGGGTTCGCATGGCGGCCTCGGGCCATTTCGGCACACCCCTCACGATGATGGTGGCCCCATAGGGATCTCCACCGAAGACCCCAGTGGCAGGGTTCGCATGGCGGCCTCGGGCCATTTCGGCACACCCCTCACAAGGGTCGTTGGCCCATATGGAGTTCCACCGAAGGTCCCAGTTGCAGGGTTCGCAAGGCGGCCTTGGGCCATTTCGGCACACCCCTCACGAGGATCGTGGCCCCATAGGGAGCTCCACCGAAGGCGCCAGCGGCAGGGTTTGCATGGCGACTTCGGCCCATTTCGGCACACCCCTCACTAGGACCGTGGCCCCATAGGGAGCTCCACCGAATGCCCCCAGTGGCAGGGTTCGCATGGCGACTTCGGGCAATTCTGGCACTCCCCTCACGAGGATCGTGGCCCCATAGGGAGCTCCACCGAAGGCCCCAGTGGCAGGGTTCGCACGGCGGCCTCGGGCCATGTCGGCACACCCCTCACGAGGACCGTGGCCCCATAGGGAGCTCCACCGAAGGCTCCAGTGGCAGGGTTCGCATGGCGGCCTCGGGCCATTTCGGCACACCCCTCACGACACGAGGATCGTTGCCCCATAGGGAGTTCCACCGAAGGTCGCCGTGGCAGGGTTCGCATGGCGGCCTCGGGCCATTTCGGCACACCCCTCACAAGGATCGTGGCCCCATAGGGAGCTCCACCGAAGGCGCCAGCGGCAGGGTTCGCATGGCGATTTCGGGCCATTTGGGCACACCCCTCACGAGGATGGTGGCCCCATAGGGAGCTCCAGCGAAGGCGCTACTGGCAAGGTTCGCATGGCGGCCTCGGGCCATTTCGGCACACCCTCACGAGGATCGTGGCCCCATAGGAGCTCCACCGAAATCGCCAGTGGCAGGGTTCGCATGGCGGCCCCGGGCCATTGCGGCACACCCCTCACGAGGATCGTGGCCCCATAGTTGGGCTGCTTCAACAACCGCGCCTGGGCGTCGTACTCCGCCTTGTCGACGTGCAACGCCACCTCCTCCCTCATGGCTCTCAAAGTCCTCTCCTGCTTGTGCTCCTCGGTCAGAGGGACGCCGTCCTTGTGTTCGTCGGCGCCCGCGCAGACGGCCAAGAACGTGTTCCTGAGCATGTCGGGCTCCGGCGGGAAGCCGTGGCCACATAGGGAGCGCGGGCGAAGATGGTATTCACAATTGCGGTGTTCACAAGTGCATATGGTTGGGTCCTTCGCCAGACTACTTTAATCGGATATGCGCGGCGCTAAAGATCTAGCCACATTTTGAAATCGACCGTAAGTCTGGCAAACTTTTCAGACGGATGTGCGCGGCGCTGGGGGGAGAGCCACATTTTGAAAACCGCCCGCCCTCCATCCGAGCAGCTTTCTCAAATTCTAAGCTTCATCCTCGTAAATGGTGAGAACGTCTCAGGCGAAACGCCCCGCCCGCCTTTTCGACAGGTCTCTCTGTGCGACAGGGATGAGTTTTTGATCAGGAAAAGGAATGGATTTTGGGAGGATGGGGAGCAGGACAGGGGAGGAGGAGGAGGAGGAGGAGGAGGAGGAGGAGGCAACATCCATTTGGGCCGCCGTAACATGTCACACCACGCCTTCCCAGTGGAGAGAAGGCCGCAACATGGAGGGACGATGATGAGGAAGAGACGTGGAGGGCGAGAGACAATGAGAGCGAGGGGATATGGGGGAGGGGACAGGTTTGTGATGACTCTTGGGCCGTTTGCTTGGGGCCAGTCTTTTTGTTTTCCCTCTACGTCCCTGAGGGGGCAGTGAGGCCTGCACGTACTATGGGATGCGGTCGCCGTTCAGGGCGCTGCGCTTCTGGAGACTCTCCGTCTCCAGCCCGTTCCGCTCGACTGTCGCCCCATGCTCTTGCGGCAGGCTTGTGGCAGACATCTGGTGCTGGTCACGAGCCAGGCCATCGTCGCCACGTCGCGCCCACCGTTGGCACCGCCGTCGCCGGCAGTCGTCCCCGGCGGGAGGCCCCTCGCCTCTGCCCGCAAGCAGCGGCCGGGCGTGGGCCGCCAGTCTGGGAAGCCCGCGCGCCAGGGCGACCTTTGGCTCAAGCAACTCTGGCCGCTCGGCGCTGGCCCTTGCCAGCCAGGTCACGAGCCCCGTGGCCCCGCCGCCGCCCACAGCCGGCCATGCCCCGTCTGCAGCTCGCCGCAGCCCTGCTGCTGCTCTGCGGCTCCCTGACGGCTCCGCGAGCCCAGGACCGAGGGCATGCCGCCCGCTCCCCCCCCCCCCCTCCAGGCCCTATGGATGTCGCCCGCCCTCCTCCGCTGCGAAGTTGCCATTCAGGTGGGGACTGAGAAGCACTTGCTTGCGATGACGAGCTGTGGAGGAATCTGGAATCCATGTATGTCCACAGGGCCATCCGAGGCGCCCCTGCGCACCCGCCGTTCCCTACGTGGGACGTCATCGGGGCGACATCGGCGCCTGTCCTGTGCTGTTCTCCTCCGCCGCATCGTCATTGCCGGAGCTCCCCGCTTCAGGAGATGCAGCAGCCCCTGCTCGTCGACGACGAGTGCGACGCCGCTGGCGACGAGGCGTGCGGCGTGAAGATGCTGCAGACGAGCGCCAGCAAGCAGGACGCCGGAGGAGGAGGAGGAGGAAGGAGGATGAGGAGGAAGGTGGAAGGTTGAAGGAGGAAGGAGGAAGGAGCAGGGAGGCAGGGGGAAGGGGGAAGGGGGAAGGAGGAAGGAGGAAGGAGGAAGGAGGAAAGAGGAAACAGGAAGGAGGACGGTGAGAAGGAGGATGAGGAGGAGGAGGAGGAGGACCAATGTGAACCCAAGACTCATCAACGATGTTTGAATCAACCCTCCCTCTAAGCTCCCTCTTCACAGGTCCCTACAGGGTTCACTTCCATTGAGGGAGCTGCCTCGTTGGGAGAACCGTTTGAAGACCCTGAAGCATGCCAAAACACCATTCTCGGGACTCCAACGCCACATATCAACCTGATTGTTGCGTCTTGACGATCTTGAGTCTTGTCGAACGCCATTTCTGGGACTACAGCGCCGCGCCGCGCACGAATGTGCGAATGTGCGCGGTGCTGAGGCGAGAGCCACATTTTGAAAACGACCCGCCCTCCATCCGTAACTCTGTCAAGCTTTCGAGACGAAAGTGCGCGGCGCGACGGCGAGAGCCACATTTGAAAACAGCCCGCCCTCAACCCATGAAGTCCTTACAATTTGTCACGACGGGTGTGCGCAGCGCTAAGGCGACAGCCACATGTTGAAAGCGGTCCGCCTTCCACTTGTGAAACTGTTGCCAATGTGTACGCATCACGGTCATGAATGGTGCTGGCGTCTCAGGCGAAATGCCCGGCCCGCCCTTTCGACCAGCCTCGGGGTATGACAGGGAATACTTATCGGAGGAGGAGGAGGAGAAGGAAGGAGGAAGGAGGAAGGAGGAAGGAGGAAGTAGGAAGGAGGAAGGAGGAATGAGGAGGGAGGAAGGAGGAATGAGGAGGGAGGAGGGGAGGAGGGAGGAGGGAGGAGGGGGGAGGAAGGGGGAGGAGGGAGGAGGATGAGGATGAGGAGGAAGAGGAAGCAGGAAGGAGGATGGAAAAAAGAGGAATGGGGAAGGAGAAGGGAGGAGGGAGGAAGGAAGGAGGCGGGAGAAGAAGGAGGAGGAGGGAGGAGGGAGGAGGGAGGAGGGAGGAGGGAGGAGGGAGGAGGGAGGAGAGAGGAGGAGGAGGAGGAGGAGGAGGAGGAGGAGGAGGAGGAGGAGCAGGAGGAGCAGGAGGAGCATGAGGAGGACAGTCTCCTGTATCTTAAGTCCTTAGCAGCATGCTGCTTTTACTACCGCAATTCGGGGAATCCCGCCCTTGAGAGAAACTGTCCGTATGGTCCTGCTGGTCGCGAGAGCCCCTTTTCGAAAAAGAGCCGCCCCCCATCAGTGCAGCGATTGCGCACTGATGGGGGGCGGAGGCGGAGGCAGAGGTGGAGGCGGAGGCATAGGTGGAGGCAGAGGCAGAGGCAGAGGCAGAGGCAGAGGCGGAAGGCAGAGGCGGAGGCCGAGGCGGAGGCGGAAGGGGGAGGCGGAGGCCGAGGGGGAGGTGGAGGCGGACGCAGAGGGGCGGGTTCCCCCCCTCCCGCCCCGCCCTAGGACGGCAAGGGCGCGGCCCCGAAGAGCATCCCGGACCTGGCCGCGGAGGCAGGGGCGGCCGCGGCGCGCGCGGCCGCCGAGGCGTTGCTGCAGAGGCAGTCCGGAGAGGGCGCCGAGGCCCTCGGGCGCGGAGAGCCGTGCGCCTGCACCGGTCCTGGCCAAGGCCCATCATCCTGGGCCCAGGATGGGCTCATGCGCCTCCCTGGGCCTGGCCGGGAGGGGGGCGTACCCGACCCTGGGCCCGGGACGGGCTTTGGCCAGGCTCGGTGCCTGTGCGCGCAGTGGCCTTCCTCCTGGAGGCTGCGGCTGCGATGGTCCAGGAGCACACCGTTGACGGGGGCGCCCAGGGGTCGGGGTCGCTGGACCGCGCCACCGTGCGCAAGACGTGCGGGTCCACCGGCAGCAGGTGCTGAGCCGCCGCCCTCTCCCCTCGATCGCCCCCCCCTCCCCGGAGAGGGCAGCGGCCGCGCCCGCCCCTTTTTTTCCCGGTTCCGAATTCGGGGCCCTCGCCCGCCCGGCGCGAGGGCACCCTCGCCGCGAGCTCCCTGCCCGCCCTGCGCCTCTGCAGCAGGCGCGGGCGCGGGCGGCTTCGTCTTCGCCCCCCTGGTGGCAGCACCCTCTCCTCCGCGGCCCCGGGGTGGCGCACGCGAGCTTCCGCGGGACGACCTGGTCGCCCCGCGCCGCAGCTAAAAGCGCCGCCGTCGGCCTCAGACGTCTCGGTCCCACCTGCGCCCTGCAGGTGGCAGGGGCAAGATGGGAGGAGATGGACGAGGGGGGAGGGGGAGGAGGGAGGAAGGATGGGGAGGAGGATAGGGACCAGTGCAAACCTAAAGACTCGTCACCGATATTCAGGGCTCCTTAGATGGGGTCGGAGTGGATGGGGTCGGAGGACCGCGCTGCATTGCCGATGCATCGCCGATGCGGCTCGCCGTAGGGCCCGATTTCCTTCATATCGACGTCGCCAATGCATCGCCGACGTCGACGATGCATCGCCGGTGCATCGCCGATGCACCGCCGATGTGTCGGCGATGCGGCACGATCCGCCGACCCCAGGTGCTCCGACCTGGTCCAGCAGAGGCCTCTAGATACGTATGTCAATAACCCCTCCCTCCAAGTTTCATCTTCGCAGGTCTTCATAAGGATTCATGCTCACTGAGGGAAGTGCCCCGTTGGAAGACAACCGTTTGAAAAACCTGAGCGGTGCCAGAACACGCTTCCTGGGGCTTCAACGCCGCGAATCACTGTGTCTGTTGCGTCTTGATGCTCTCGGTCCGTGCAACACCATTTGTGGGATTTCAGCACCGCGAGTGAACGCACTTAATTGTTGCGCCCTGACCGTCCGACTTCGCGACAACACACCATGTCTGGGACATTAGCTATGACACGCCTTGACACTGTTGAGGGCTCTTAAGACGAATGTCCGCGGCGCTAAGGCGAGAACCACACTTTGAAAACAACCCGCCCTCCGTCCGTGAAGCTGTTTGTTGCAGCGTTCAGGACGGATTTGTGAGGCGCGAAGGTTCGAGCCAACCACTCGCCATCCTGCTGCAAAACTCTCGCCTTTTTTTTTGAACGATTGTGCGCGTCGCCAGGGCGAGAGCCACATTTTGAACACGACCCGCCCTCCACCCGTATCCCTGGCAAGCTTTTACGACGGATGTGCGCGGCGCTAGGGCGAGAGCCACATTTTGAAAACCGCCCGCCCTCCATCCGAGCAGCTTTTTCAAATTTTAAGCCTCATCCTCGTAAATGGTGAGGACGTCTCGGGCGAAACGCACAGCCCGCCCTTTCGACAGGCCTCCGGGTGCGACAGGGGTGAGTTTTTGATGAGGAAAAGGAATGGATTGGGAGGAGGAGGAGCAGGACCAGGACCAGGACAGGGGAGGAGGAGGAGGAGGAGGAGGAGGAGGAGGAGGAGGCAATATTCATTTGGGCCGCCGTAACATGCCACACCACGCCTTCCCAGTGGAGAGAAGGCCGCAATATGGAGGGATGATGATGATGAGGAAGAGTCGTGGAGGGTGAAAGAAGATGAGAGCAAGGGGATCTGGGGGAGGGGACAGGTTTGTGATGACTCTTGGGGCGTTTGCTTAGAGCTCCTCTTTTCGTCTTTCCTCTACGTCCCTGAGGGGACGGTAAAAGGCCTGCACTATGGGATGCGGTCGCCGTTCAGGGCGCTGCGCTTCTGGAGACTCCGTCTCCAGCCCTTTCCGCTCGACTGTCGCCCCATGCTCTTGCGGCAGGCTTGTGGCAGACATCTGGTGCTGGTCACGAGCCAGGCCATCGTCGCCACGTCGCGCCCACCGTTGGCACCGCCGTCGCCGGCAGTCGTGGTCGCTGCGTGGGCCGCCAGTCTCGACCTTTGGGCATCGTCGCCACGTCGCGCCCACCGTTGGCACCGCCGTCGCCGGCAGTCGTCCCCGGCGGGAGGCCCCTCGCCTCTGCCCGCAAGCAGCGGCCGGGCGTGGGCCGCCAGTCTGGGAAGCCCGCGCGCCAGGGCGACCTTTGGCTCAAGCAACTCTGGCCGCTCGGCGCTGGCCCTTGCCAGCCAGGTCACGAGCCCCGTGGCCCCGCCGCCGCCCACAGCCGGCCATGCCCCGTCTGCAGCTCGCCGCAGCCCTGCTGCTGCTCTGCGGCTCCCTGACGGCTCCGCGAGCCCAGGACCGAGGGCATGCCGCCCGCTCCCCCCCCCCCCCTCCAGGCCCTATGGATGTCGCCCGCCCTCCTCCGCTGCGAAGTTGCCATTCAGGTGGGGACTGAGAAGCACTTGCTTGCGATGACGAGCTGTGGAGGAATCTGGAATCCATGTATGTCCACAGGGCCATCCGAGGCGCCCCTGCGCACCCGCCGTTCCCTACGTGGGACGTCATCGGGGCGACATCGGCGCCTGTCCTGTGCTGTTCTCCTCCGCCGCATCGTCATTGCCGGAGCTCCCCGCTTCAGGAGATGCAGCAGCCCCTGCTCGTCGACGACGAGTGCGACGCCGCTGGCGACGAGGCGTGCGGCGTGAAGATGCTGCAGACGAGCGCCAGCAAGCAGGACGCCGGAGGAGGAGGAGGAGGAAGGAGGATGAGGAGGAAGGTGGAAGGTTGAAGGAGGAAGGAGGAAGGAGCAGGGAGGCAGGGGGAAGGGGGAAGGGGGAAGGAGGAAGGAGGAAGGAGGAAGGAGGAAAGAGGAAACAGGAAGGAGGACGGTGAGAAGGAGGATGAGGAGGAGGAGGAGGAGGACCAATGTGAACCCAAGACTCATCAACGATGTTTGAATCAACCCTCCCTCTAAGCTCCCTCTTCACAGGTCCCTACAGGGTTCACTTCCATTGAGGGAGCTGCCTCGTTGGGAGAACCGTTTGAAGACCCTGAAGCATGCCAAAACACCATTCTCGGGACTCCAACGCCACATATCAACCTGATTGTTGCGTCTTGACGATCTTGAGTCTTGTCGAACGCCATTTCTGGGACTACAGCGCCGCGCCGCGCACGAATGTGCGAATGCGTGCGGTGCTGAGGCGAGAGCCACATTTTGAAAACGACCCGCCCTCCATCCGTAACTCTGTCAAGCTTTCGAGACGAAAGTGCGCGGCGCGACGGCGAGAGCCACATTTGAAAACAGCCCGCCCTCAACCCATGAAGTCCTTACAGTTTGTCACGACGCGTGTGCGCAGCGCTAAGGCGACAGCCACATGTTGAAAGCGGCCCGCCTTCCACTTGTGAAACTGTTGCCAATGTGTACGCATCACGGTCATGAATGGTGCTGGCGTCTCAGGCGAAATGCCCGGCCCGCCCTTTCGACCAGCCTCGGGGTATGACAGGGAATACTTATCGGAGGAGGAGGAGAAGGAAGGAGGAAGGAGGAAGGAGGAAGTGGGAAGGAGGAAGGAGGAATGAGGAGGGAGGAAGGAGGAATGAGGAGGGAGGAGGGGAGGAGGGAGGAGGGAGGAGGGAGGAGGGGGGAGGGAAGGAGGGAGGAGGGAGAGGATGAGGATGAGGAGGAAGAGGAAGGAGGAAGGAGGATGGAAAAAAGAGGAATGAGGAAGGATAACGGAGGAGGGAGGAAGGAAGGAGGAGGGAGAAAGGAAGGAGGAGGAGGGAGGAGGGAGATGGAGGAGGAGGGAGGAGGGAGAGGAGGGGAGAGAGAGGAGGAGGAGGAGGGAGGAGGAGGAGGAGGAGGAGGAGGAGCATGAGGAGGACAGTCTCCTGTATCTTAAGTCCTTAGCAGCATGCTGCTTTTACTACCGCAATTCGGGGAATCCCGCCCTTGAGAGAAACTGTCCGTATGGTCCTGCTGGTCGCGAGAGCCCCTTTTCGAAAAAGAGCCGCCCCCCATCAGTGCAGCGATTGCGCACTGATGGGGGGCGGAGGCGGAGGCAGAGGTGGAGGCGGAGGCATAGGTGGAGGCAGATGCAGAGGCAGAGGCAGAGGCGGAAGGCAGAGGCGGAGGCCGAGGCGGAGGCGGAAGGGGGAGGCGGAGGCCGAGGGGGAGGTGGAGGCGGACGCCTAGGGGCGGGTTCCCCCCCTCCCGCCCCGCCCTAGGACGGCAAGGGCGCGGCCCCGAAGAGCATCCCGGACCTGGCCGCGGAGGCCGGGGCGGCCGCGGCGCGCGCGGCCGCCGAGGCGTTGCTGCAGAGGCAGTCCGGAGAGGGCGCCGAGGCCCTCGGGCGCGGAGAGCCGTGCGCCTGCACCGGTCCTGGCCAAGGCCCATCATCCTGGGCCCAGGATGGGCTCATGCGCCTCCCTGGGCCTGGCCGGGAGGGGGGCGTATCCGACCCTGGGCCCGGGACGGGCTTTGGCCAGGCTCGGTGCCTGTGCGCGCAGTGGCCTTCCTCCTGGAGGCTGCGGCTGCGATGGTCCAGGAGCACACCGTTGACGGGGGCGCCCAGGGGTCGGGGTCGCTGGACCGCGCCACCGTGCGCAAGACGTGCGGGTCCACCGGCAGCAGGTGCTGAGCCGCCGCCCTCTCCCCTCGATCGCCCCCCCCTCCCCGGAGAGGGCAGCGGCCGCGCCCGCCCCTTTTTTTCCCGGTTCCGAATTCGGGGCCCTCGCCCGCCCGGCGCGAGGGCACCCTCGCCGCGAGCTCCCTGCCCGCCCTGCGCCTCTGCAGCAGGCGCGGGCGCGGGCGGCTTCGTCTTCGCCCCCCTGGTGGCAGCACCCTCTCCTCCGCGGCCCCGGGGTGGCGCACGCGAGCTTCCGCGGGACGACCTGGTCGCCCCGCGCCGCAGCTAAAAGCGCCGCCGTCGGCCTCAGACGTCTCGGTCCCACCTGCGCCCTGCAGGTGGCAGGGGCAAGATGGGAGGAGATGGACGAGGGGGGAGGGGGAGGAGGGAGGAAGGATGGGGAGGAGGATAGGGACCAGTGCAAACCTAAAGACTCGTCACCGATATTCAGGGCTCCTTAGATGGGGTCGGAGTGGATGGGGTCGGAGGACCGCGCTGCATTGCCGATGCATCGCCGATGCGGCTCGCCGTAGGGCCCGATTTCCTTCATATCGACGTCGCCAATGCATCGCCGACGTCGACGATGCATCGCCGGTGCATCGCCGATGCACCGCCGATGTGTCGGCGATGCGGCACGATCCGCCGACCCCAGGTGCTCCGACCTGGTCCAGCAGAGGCCTCTAGATACGTATGTCAATAACCCCTCCCTCCAAGTTTCATCTTCGCAGGTCTTCATAAGGATTCATGTTCACTGAGGGAAGTGCCCCGTTGGAAGATAACCGTTTGAAAAACCTGAGCGGTGCCAGAACACGCTTCCTGGGGCTTCAACGCCGCGAATCACTGTGTCTGTTGCGTCTTGATGCTCTCGGTCCGTGCAACACCATTTGTGGGATTTCAGCACCGCGAGTGAACGCACTTAATTGTTGCGCCCTGACCGTCCGACTTCGCGACAACACACCATGTCTGGGACATTAGCTATGACACGCCTTGACACTGTTGAGGGCTCTTAAGACGAATGTCCGCGGCGCTAAGGCGAGAACCACACTTTGAAAACAACCCGCCCTCCGTCCGTGAAGCTGTTTGTTGCAGCGTTCAGGACGGATTTGTGAGGCGCGAAGGTTCGAGCCAGCCACTCGCCATCCTGCTGCAAAACTCTCGCCTTTTTTTTAACGATTGTGCGCGTCGCCAGGGCGAGAGCCACATTTTGAACACGACCCGCCCTCCACCCGTATCCCTGGCAAGCTTTTACGACGAATGTGCGCGGCGCTAGGGCGAGAGCCACATTTTGAAAACCGCCCGCCCTCCATCCGAGCAGCTTTTTCAAATTTTAAGCCTCATCCTCGTAAATGGTGAGGACGTCTCGGGCGAAACGCACAGCCCGCCCTTTCGACAGGCCTCCGGGTGCGACAGGGGTGAGTTTTTGATGAGGAAAAGGAATGGATTGGGAGGAGGAGGAGCAGGACCAGGACCAGGACAGGGGAGGAGGAGGAGGAGGAGGAGGAGGAGGAGGAGGAGGCAATATTCATTTGGGCCGCCGTAACATGCCACACCACGCCTTCCCAGTGGAGAGAAGGCCGCAATATGGAGGGATGATGATGATGAGGAAGAATCGTGGAGGGTGAAAGAAGATGAGAGCAAGGGGATCTGGGGGAGGGGACAGGTTTGTGATGACTCTTGGGGCGTTTGCTTAGGGCTCCTCTTTTCGTCTTTCCTCTACGTCCCTGAGGGGACGGTAAAAGGCCTGCACTATGGGATGCGGTCGCCGTTCAGGGCGCTGCGCTTCTGACTCTCCGTCTCCAGCCCTTTCCGCTCGACTGTCGCCCCATGCTCTTGCGGCAGGCTTGTGGCAGACATCTGGTGCTGGTCACGAGCCAGGCCATCGTCGCCACGTCGCGCCCACCGTTGGCACCGCCGTCGCCGGCAGTCGTCCCCGGCGGGAGGCCCCTCGCCTCTGCCCGCAAGCAGCGGCCGGGCGTGGGCCGCCAGTCTGGGAAGCCCGCGCGCCAGGGCGACCTTTGGCTCAAGCAACTCTGGCCGCTCGGCGCTGGCCCTTGCCAGCCAGGTCACGAGCCCCGTGGCCCCGCCGCCGCCCACAGCCGGCCATGCCCCGTCTGCAGCTCGCCGCAGCCCTGCTGCTGCTCTGCGGCTCCCTGACGGCTCCGCGAGCCCAGGACCGAGGGCATGCCGCCCGCTCCCCCCCCCCCCCCCTCCAGGCCCTATGGATGTCGCCCGCCCTCCTCCGCTGCGAAGTTGCCATTCAGGTGGGGACTGAGAAGCACTTGCTTGCGATGACGAGCCGTGGAGGAATCTGGAATCCATGTATGTCCACAGGGCCATCCGAGGCGCCCCTGCGCACCCGCCGTTCCCTACGTGGGAGGTCATCGGGGCGACATCGGCGCCTGTCCTGTCCTGTTCTCCTCCGCCGCATCGTCATTGACGGAGCTCCCCGCTTAAGGAGATGCAGCAGCCCCTGCTCGTCGACGACGAGTGCGACGCCGCTGGCGACGAGGCGTGTGGCGTGAAGATGCTGCAGACGAGCGCCAGCAAGCAGGACGCCGGAGGAGGAGGAGGAGGAAGGAGGAGGAGGAGGAAGGTGGAAGGATGAAGGAGGAAGGAGGAAGGAGCAAGGAGGCAGGGGGAAGGGGGAAGGAGGGAGGAGGAAGGAGGAAGGAGGAGGATAAGGAGGTGGAGGACGATGAGAAGGTGGAGGAGGAGCAGGATGAGGAGGAGGACCAGTGGAAGCCCAAGACTCATTAACCATGTTGGAATCATCTCTCCCTGTAAGCTGCCTCTTCAGAGGTCCCTACAAGGGTTCATTTGCATTGAGGGAACTGCCTCGTTTGGAGAACCGTTTGAATACCCTGAAACATGCCACAACACTATTCTCGGGACTCCAACGCCACATATCAATTTGACTGTTGCGTCTTGACGATCCTGAAGCGTGCCAGAAGGTCATTCCTGGGACTTCAACGCGGCGCATCAGCGTAAATATTGCACCGTCACAATCCTGAATCTGTCCAAAACTTCATTTCTGCTACGGACCATGGGAGTCCTCAACATGTTTGCACTTGCTTAGTACGAATGTATGCGGCGCTAAGAACCTCTTGCATTTGTTGAAACGAATGTGCGCGGCACGACGGCGAGAGCTACATTTTGAACACCGCCCGCCCTCAGTCCGTGAAACCCTCATTGTAAATTTAAGACGAACGTGCGCGGCGCTAAGGCGAGAGCCACGTTTTGAAAACGACCCGACCTCCATTTGTGAAATTGCTGTGCCAATGTTTCAGCTTCAGGCTCATGAGTGGTGAGGAAGGCTGAGGCGAAACGCCCGGCCCGCCCTTTCGACCAGCCTCGGGGTGCGACAGGGAGGAGTTACCTATAAGGAAAAGGAGCGGATGAGCGAGGCCATGGCGGCGCACGGTGCCTCCCGCTCCTGCGCCCTCCACTCATTCCCTCGCTCGCATTCCACCTCAGACTAGGCCCATCTAGTGGCCGAGCTGCAACGCGTTGCACAGGTTGGCCCAGCTCATGTGGGCTCGGGGGCAGCGGACCCAGCCCCGTCATCCGCCGAGGGTCCCACTCGCGGTGACACATGAAAGCGAGCCGCCCTCGAACCACACGCGGAAGCCGACGCACGTGCGGACTCGCGGGCAAGGGCCCCAGCCCCGTCGACTGCCGAGGGACTCACTCGCAGCGACATGCGAGACACGGCAGGCCGCCGCAGCACGCCGTCGTCCATGCCCTGGCCCTCGAACCCTTGGTCGCCAATCCACCGCGCGGAGCGGTCGCGTGGCTGCCCCTGGCTTGGGGTCGGGGCTGTAGGGTGCTCAGGGCGCTGCTCTTCCCACCCCGCCCAGACCAACGCGCCGCCCCTCCAGGCCACCGCAGACCCGCCCACGTTGCCCCACCAGCAACGGCACGCTTCCCCAACCGTTACACCAGGAGCGCACGGAGGGCCCACGGGCACCACGGCGGCCGCCTCATCCAGGTGGTCGAAGGGCTCGTCCTCGGAGCATGGTGGACGACGCCTGCCCACGGCAAAGGGTGTGGGTCCCGTAGGTTCCGAAGGCGCGCCGCTCGTGGTCATGAAGGGCAGCGTCCGCAAACCCACCCTCTGGCTCCGCCGACACGCCTTGCCGAGGCGCCGTGCCAGTAGCCCCCCGTCGCGTCGGAGCCAATGGGCCGACCTGCCAGCTGATGGGCCGACCTGCAAGCTAGGCAGCATACGCCTGAACATGTCGAGGATCTCCTCCAGCTCCTGTTGATGCTGCCCAGCGAGTCGCCGCCTTTCATCAGCCTCGGCGCCGTGGTACGTGATGAGGAAGGCTTCGCGCCTACCAGCACTCTGCCTCCACGCACTGGCGCAGCGGCCGCCCAGGGAACCAACTCATGAGCAAGGGCTCCAATGGGCGGATCCTGCCTTGTGGCGCAGCATGGGCTCCAGGAGCGCCTCTCACTGCTCCTGCCGCGTAGTTTCGTCGGAGATCAAGACCATGTCATACACGAACCACTGGGCCGCCCAGTCCCGCAAGTCGTGCCTCATCTCCAGGTAGTCCTGCCTGGCCTGGCCCCGCTCGGGCGCAGACGGCGGCGGCAGCCCCATGGCACCAGGAGCCTGGCCCGCACCTTCGGCAGCGAGTGTGGACCCCGTAGGTCCAGAAGGCGCGCCGCTCGGGTGACCAGCGCCATTAGGGGCAGCATCCGCAGGCCCACCCGCTGGATCCGTCAATACACCTTGCCGAGGTGCCGTGCCAAGGGGGCTCCTGCACGGCAGCACCAGCTCTTTTCTCTTAGGACCTCAGCTTGATGTGGGTATTCTGCGTCACGGTGGGCGCGAGGTGCTTCTCGAGACGAGCCAACACCGTTTTGTTTTTCGAGGTGGGTTCCATCGGGCAGGGCGTACTGAAGGAACACGGACTGGCAGCTGCCGTGGCGCCGCACACAGCATGTACAATCATTGGCATCTCCTTCGCGAGATCAGCGTCACGAACGGGCTCGAGGACCACAGGGACGTGCGCTTTCAGGTCTCCATCGCGACGCTTCTGCTTGTAGCCGAGCACCGACACCAGCACACTGCCCGTACACTCGGAGGCCCTCCTGTTCCACCTGCAGCGCGGGCACCATTCACATCCTTCTGGCCCACGTAGGTCGCACATGAGCTTGGGCACTGGCACCACATTTTTCGCCTTCGGCGCCTTCTTGTTCGGCTTGGCAGCTCGATGGGTGGTGTCTGCCCCGTCCAGGGCGGCTCCCACAGCTGACGTCCACAGCTCAACACCTTCCACCAACTGATGTGCGTCATGAAGCTGGTCGCGGCAACGAGCAGGAACGCGGTCCTGTAGGCCAGCCCACTGCCGCCCAAGTCGCGGTAGCTGACGGCGCCGCCCTCGAGCAGCTTGGAGCGCCCGACGTGCGCTGGCACTTGGCGCACCGAGAGCCCTTGCAGCCCAATGCCTTCGAAGTCACTGACCAACCTCCAGATACAGTTTTTCGCCGTGAAGCGCACGGCGGGACGCCAAGCTTCCAAAGAACAATATGGTCGGAGTTGCATCTGATCGGAGTTGCATCTGGTCTGGCTGGTCTGGTTTGAGCCTAGTGCTGAAGCTTTAGCTTCGGATTCGGGCGAGAGTGGTGTAAGGTTCAGGGGAGGTCCAGGGAGTCTGCGTCAACGACGACGACCGAACAGCCGGTTTGTATTACATTGCAGTTTCGTTTGCCTTGCAGTTTTTTTGCATCTTGCCTGGCTGGTCTGGTTTAGGGGAGGTCCAGGGAGTCTGCGTCAACGACAACGACCGAGCGTTTTTTTTTGCATTGCAGTTGTTTTGCATGGCAGTTTGTTGTTGCATATGGTTTGGCTGGTCTGATTTGAGCCTAGTGCTGAAGCGTTAGCTTAGGATTCGGGTGAGATTTGCTCAGGGGAGGTACAGGGATTCTGCGCCAACGGCGACGACCGAACAGCAGTTGTTTGCCGCATTGCAGTTTTGTTTGGATTGCAGTTTGTTTGCATCTGGTCTGGCTGGTCTGGTTTGAGCCTAGTGCTGAAGCTCTAGCTTTGGATTCGGGCGACAGTTGTTTAGGGGAGGTCCAGGGAGCCTGCGTCAACGACGACGACGACGATCGAACAGCCGTTTTTTTGCATTGCAGTTGTTTTGCATAGCAATGTGTTGTTGCATCTGGTCCGGCTGGTCTGGTTTGAGCCTAGTGCTGAAGCTTCAGCTTAGGATTCGGGCGAAAGTGGTTTAGGGGAGGTCCAGGGAGCCTGCGTCAACGACAACGACCGAACAACAGTTTTTTTGTTGCATTGCAGTTGTTGTTTGCATTGCAGGTTTTTTGCATCTGGTCTGGCTCGTCTGGTTTGAGCCTGGTGCTGAAGCTTTAGCTTCGGATTCGGGCGAGAGTGGTTGAGGGGAGGTCGAGGGAGCCTGCGGCAACAACGACGACCGAAAGAAACAGATTTTTTGCATTGCAGTTCTTTTTGGCATGGCAGATTTTCGTTGCATCTGGTTTTGCTGGTCTGGTTTGAGCCTAGTGCTGAATCTTTAGCTTAGGAGTCGAGCGAGAGTGGTTTAGGGGAGGTCCAGGGAGTTTTGCGTCAACGACGACAACCGAACAGCAGTTTTTTGTTGCATTGGTCTAGTTGGTCTACTCGGTCTTCTGCCCTGTCTGCTTCGTCTGGGTCCTTTAGTTGGTCTGGTTGGTTGGCCCGGTCAGTCTGGCGCGGTTGCTCCTGGCTGGTCTGCTTGGTCTGGCTGGTTTGGTTGGTCTGGTTCGTTTGGTTCATCTGGTTCGTCTGGTTGGTTGGCAGGGTCGCGTCGCCCCGTCATCCTCGTACCCACCCTCGGCCTCGTCGTTGTCGTCGTCAGCGTCGTCGTCGTCCTGCCATCTGCGTCGCCGCAACCGGAGGTGGAACCGAAAGCGCTGCTGCGTCATGCCCCGCTGCGGCGGAAAAAAACTGGTGGAGAGGGGACATCAGCAGCCATATCAGTTCTTCTGCCCCAAAGCAAAGTAAGGCGCTGGGGCATGAGAACGTTGCTTCTCGAGCGGCTTAGAATATCACGCCATTGATCCTCACGCAAAACCAATCGACGTCGTCCGCCGGGGGCCGTACTCCAGCTTGGCCCTTGACCGAAAAGGATTGGAGGAGGAGGAGGAGGAGGAAGAGGAAGAGGAA